AACATCAAATGGTCCATTGAATCGCACGCGTCACCGTATAGATGTGGTTCAAGAAGGTGTGACCTATGTACTACTGAAAAACGTATTATTATTAAGAACAATTCCAGTACACTTTTAAACAAAAGAACTGAACTAATTTCCAAATGCCGTCATAGGAACAAATTCCTTCTAGCCAATTGTACTTAGAGCTTTCATGTAAATGCAATTATATCCCATAGGAATTGATCTTAATTTTAAAGCTTTAAATAAGACGAGTCTTGTCAACTGTTCATATAGCCTGAAGATTGCGAAAACATGAAACTTATAGTTGCTATCCGTGTCAAGCGTATTTGATTGTCATACTTATATAGCAATATATTAGCTCTACACCTGTATCGAGCACTCTTTTGAGGACTGGATTCACTACATTTAGGACTCATTAACTTACATACTTGTCAAACCTCTAGGGATTACAGCGCTGTAAACAAACCGCTCTTAACAAATCCCGCTGGAAGTATGCAAACACTAAATACACAGAACCAGCCAAAACGTCTGTAAAACGGCAATAAACCCACTCACTTACTTCTCCTTTCGTTTCATTCTTTTGATATTCACATCAGATGTCCGACTTACGTAACTTTAACCACATATTACCAAATAAATACTGCATAAGTAGACACAGATAACCAACTAACACGAACTCCCGAAAACTCGATAACGCACACACACTGGAAAACGTTAGCCACAGTTAACTAAACGGAAGATTTGAAAACCTAAACACACCAAACCCATCGCTCGTCAACCAAAGACGTTCGAACTGCAGTGCCAAACGCCCAGCCTATGGAAACATAAAGCCGGTTGCTCGAAACTTGAATGAGCATAAACAAGTCTAACCAGGCACAAACCAAACTCGCTCAATCATTCGCTCGTAAACCAAAACCATTAATACCGTGTAAAACGTGAAGCCCATGGGAACACAAACACCGCGTAAACCAACACCTCGCTGGAAAACCTGAGCGCATATTAACCAGCATTTATGAACACTAAACACAACCTAAACTCGGTTGACTCTTCCAGCTCAATAACCAAACACATTAAAACCGGTAAACCAAAAACTGCCCGTAGCCTGAGCAAACTCCAGACTGAAACTAATAGGCCTGTCATGACTCGATCCAACCACAGACCGGAGCTATAGTTCACTCGAAAATCCGAGCCCCAACTTAAATAGGCACAAAACTAAACTATATTGAAAACTCAAACATACCAAAGCAATAAATGGTTGGCAAACACTCTGTGGCACTTACACAAATACAAGAAGTTGAAAACCAGCGTAAAACCAATCACCCGGCAACCGCTCGTAATGCCGGCACAACTCCGCTGAGTATACTCACACGCACTGACACATGCACTCTAGCTCAAACAAACTCCAAGCCTCAAATACTACTATCTCGAACCCCCAAAAGAAACTAACGCTACAAGTCACCATATTTCTCTTGAAATCTTGCCTCTTCTTGACCCACGACCTGTCCGTCTTGTTGCTGTCTATCAGCCGTCTTCTGATTCTGCTCATCAACTTCTAATGCTTGTAACCGGGACTTGATTAGCCATAACACTTTCGACTGGCGGCAAGCGTAACAGAAACTATAAGACATCCGCACTGCTTGTGCCCTTTGAATGAAGTGATTGGAGTAGCCACTCCCTGACCCTATATATACTCATTTACATAATTACAATTCCCTAGGGTATTAATTATAATATTCAAATGACTTTGAATAGAGAAGAAATATTTACGATTTTTACGCTTTTTGCCGTGCCCAGGCCTCTACGGCCGTCACGGTTATAAAACGTAAGCACAATTTTTTCACATTTTTACCCGTTTTATTCAGAAAGTACTAGTGCTAGGCAACTYCMAAAAAAAATATTGGCGATGATATCCCAAAATTTCTGATATATTTTATATATACTTGAACTTTGAGCAAAAAAGATCATAATTTCTGCATATTGCTATKYATATACTGGATTGACATAAATATCCAAACAAATGTATTCCAAGACGTTATAGACCGGGGCACTGAACGGGGACGTGTCGCGTTTTTAACGTGCTTTCAACAGCAAGATTGCCCCGGGGGTCGGGATTTTGATGAATTTTTACATGTGTTTTTCCGTCCAGTCACCCACATGTAGTAGGCAAATGAGTGCACAGGATCGTGCAAAAGCTAACCCTGTGTATCACAGAAAATTTGATTGAAAGGTGTTTGTTTTGTTATTTACTACTTCGTAGTTAATCACATTTTGAATCATATATCCGGTATTCAATCACATTACGTTGTATATTCCGAACGCTATAGGCTAYCCGCAATCCCTTTCGCTCACATTTTCAACTCGTGTTACACACTGTTTCATCGCGCATTTTGATGAGTATTCTTTCTACTAGCGAGTATATGCGACAGAATATGAAGGTTTACGACTAAAATCTGGCCCTCATTACTCGTCTGAGTGTTAGGATCAAGGGTATGTTGAATTATGATGACGAGGAGATCTCAAATACAGATATCGACACGCTTTACTATCCGTGAAGCGACGGCAACGGCTGTGAACCCGATATTTTATTTTCTCTACTCGCTTATTAGAGTGAAAACATTAAATGTGTGCAACTTTGTCCACTATTTACTACAAAATAGTGTTAATTAAACAATAAAAAACAATAGAATTGCAGTATTTAGTGGTATTTATGTTGCACAGTTTTAGTGTTTGTACTCTATGATTGAATATCAACACAACTCGATATTTAGAATAGAAAATGCTTAATAATTTTAATGGATATGTCGATTTTTTTATGTAGATATGAAAAAATATTGTTTTACCATCATAACAGAAAGTTAATTAAGCGTCACGTTGTRTCCAACTCGTGCCTAGTTATATATCTGACCTTAAAATTATACTGAAGAATCACAAAGGCGGATATATCTGAAATTTTAAGAGCCACCATCGTAAAAATCACATACAGTTTAATCTGTATGGGTGGCCGAGCGGTGAGAGCGCTGGCCTGTCACCTCTGTGGACCCTGTTCGAATCTCGGTCGGGGCGCCATATGTGATTTGCGTATTATTAATCTCAAAAACAGATCAAGTAAAAGTTATGGAAAATAAGTGTCCGCTTACGGGAGATTGAAAACAATAGAAAAGTTCACTTGGGAATCACTAAAAGTGTCCGCGTCCRCTTACAAGAAAGTCCGCTTAATAGAAAGTAAAATTGCAGTGTTTGTTTGGGAGGAAAAACGGGGTTTTGAAAAGCTGTCCGTAGAACTGTCCGCTTACGGGAGCGTCCGTAAGTAGAGATTCGACTGTATCTTGGCAAGGCTCGAAGGATTAAATCATTTTACTAATGATTTCACAACATCATGTACAACAAAGGGCACGTGTCAACCCTGCATACAGGGTCTAGTTTTGCAATCAAGTATCAATTATTGGCATTTCCGCCTCTCCACCCCTACCCTTCCGTCCCCCCTCCCCTAGAGCCGCCAGGTGTCAACTCTATTTGAGGGAATTGCATTGTTCAACAGACAATTCGCTTACCTGTAAGCATCAGAAAGTTTGACAAAGCCGAACTCTTGTGTACTGTAAATAAGTAAATCTTCCGCCCAACGACTGCAAATATGATATGAAAAATTATTTTGCATTGATGTGCATTATTGAAATAACAATAATGTAGGCCAATTTTGATGACTGGCAATGAAGTAATTTGATAATAAAAATCCAAACCTTAAATGAGTAGCCACCATTGTTCCCCAGAACAGGAACTCGATGATGTAGTCTCGATCGCCAACAGCATCCATACTGTTAGCAGAGACAGAAGCAAACCCAAGCTCTGCAACAAACATAGCTATTTTGAGCAATGAAATCAAAGAAGAGTACGAGCCCTCACCTTGAGWAATTTATCATTAGAATTTTATCATTATTATTCTTGTAGTATAATAGTTAATATGTACTAGACTGATTCGTTTTAAAATTCCACATTTTATAACTATTTATTCTTGTAAATATCATGCAATTCAGCCTTTTTGGCTGYCATGATTATATTATTAAAGCTATTTATCTATCTATCAAATCTTTCTGTAACTTTTTTTTCCCTTCTTTTTTCTTCATAAGAAATATCGTTTTTATTATGATAAGATAGTTTCTGAATGAAATTCATTGTTATTCATTTTTACCCATTTTTAATGACTTTAGTAAAGCCATAGTTCCTTTCGAAACTTCACTCAGTAATTGCTAAATATCTAATCTTACCAGAGCTCAAACTTCACAACCCAAGGAAAAACATTTTGMAATATATTTTGGAAAAAATAAAAAACAGTCAGTCTCCCAGTCCAGGTTCCTTCCCAACCGACCACGAGAGAAATTGCTTCACGYCCAGCTTATTCTAGCCTTCGCGTGGCACTGACGAGATGCCTCACATTCATGGGTACCATATTTCCTTTATGTCATCATTCTTGATCTAGATTGCAACATTTATAGCGCTAGCGGGTGTAGAGTTCATCAGCCAGACGATTTGACACGCAGACACTATTTTTAATGMTGGTAAATTCCTGTACAATACAAATATAGCTTAAACATATTGCTCACGAAATTACAAACTGAAAATAAATGAAGAAATGATAAATAATAACTTACGAGTAAGCTGACATCTAAACTGCTAAAGGCCTTGACAACATTAAACAAAAAACACTAATTCTGGACGAATARCGGAACGAATTTGCATAGGCACGTAACGGAAGAACTTACAAAARCAACTATCATTAATTCTTATTAGTAGAGATATAATAAAGAATAACACAATTAAGTTACGACGTTTCGAAGTCATCTTGAAATACTTGAAAATGAAGTCAAGATGACTTCGAAACGTCGTAACTTGAGAAGGGTTTGTCGTACGACTTCCATATATGGCTGTGCATGCACGGCGCTGATGTGCACATAGAAGGCGATGATGTGATCTGATGTCCCAATTATGTGGAGAAGGACTTAGAAAATTTCAAACACTTAAACTTAAACCGAAAAGAAATTTTTGAAGAACGAATACTAAGATTCGAACCAGCGCTATGCATTGCCTAACCCGATATATTC